GGGGGGTATTTTCTCTAGCCGTGAATACTCCTCATGAATTTTGCAAGAACCGACCTTTGAAAATTCATTCCACCGATGATGACGAAAAGCTGGTGGAATGTACTGCAATCCATGTAATCAAGCCGGCCTGATGTTTTGTTCATTAGTTAAATCTGGACGACCCAAGTTATTCGATGTATACTTAAAGGTCATAAAAGATTAGTTTTTAAAATGCTTCCACAAGGAACAGTTGTTCAAACAAAATACACCGCTGTTTCTGACGAGTCTTGCGAGACCCAGAAGAACAAAAAACAAACATTTCAAAAAACTCACGCGGAAAAACATATGAAAATTAATTAACGGGTATTGTGCCTGAAAGCTGAACAGGGTATATTAAAACATTTTTAACTTTTCCAACTAGATGTAATGAGCGCAATGCGAGGTGCATAGGCAAATGAACTTTAATTCATTCATTAAATAATATCACCTCATCAATCCATGCATCTCATGCAAAATGTCGATTAATGGGATAATGACCAAATGTGACTAGGAATACGCTAAAATAAACTAACTAAAGAATATCAGCTGACTCATCATGATCGATCACAGAAAGGCTACCCAGGAGGACAGATTAACTTTTGGCCAAGCATTTGTTCGTTGAACACATTTTAGCCACTGCTATATTACAAACCGTTGAATAGTTAAGGCTGACTAAAAATATAAGCGGCTTAAACTGATGAATATTTGGTGCAAACGAAACAGCCCCTGCAAATGACCCTTTGGGCGCAACCATACAAGGTTTACATGGCAGAAGTTAGAACGTACTATGCTTGTCATCATACGCGTGCGCAAACAATCAGTTATATCCACTGAACGATGCAAACGATGCAATACAGAGTGAAGCAATAACAGCACCTACAAAATATTGGTATCATTCTGTCACTGTCACTTTTAAGGAAAACCTGTATAAGGTAGCAGCAAAAATCAAATCGCAGGCAAATATCATTTAGATTCCACTTGTACCATCTGGAGTGGAATATCTAGATTTTAGGATCTTCAGATCGGCTCGCTCTTACTTTTCCTGCAACAAAATATTGTTGCTCAGTCACAACAGGAATGTCATCACTCGACAGACTGAGAAACTCCGCGACGTGGACAATGACAAAGATGGTGAAATCCAGTCCAAAGCCATATCTTTCCGCATAATCGAACACTCTCCCTCCCACATTTGACGGAAAACCATGAAACCATGAACCGCAAGAGAAAGAGTGAAGCGAACCGTGTGTCAAAGAAGCGCCTGAACATTCGCGAACGAATTCAAGAAAGCTAATCTAGAGAGTTTCGCGGTACTGAGAACAGCTGAATAAGATTGTGGAACAAAGCCACCGTTTCAAACAAACAGCTGATCCAAAACCTGACCATCCGTCAATCTGATTTCGACCTATCGCGGAAGTCGTAGATCAACCGCATACGAATAGGATACTGCAGACGTGTTTGCCATATGCAGAAAGAGAAATTTCAGAAGTACCCTAAATCCGAATTTTTATCGGTAGTCGAATTATTAACCATCTTACCACCGAACGTCTGCTCCAAAAACTAAACAGTGGCAGGTATTGCAAAATTACAAAATGCGATAAGCGGTTTGTATCCACAGGGCGGATCAATCTGTTATATCAAGAAATCTGACTGGACATCATTACTCGGGGATAGACGGAACTGTTAAATTGTCGCTATCCAGATAATAAGCCTTCAGCAATGTTACAGGGTTTTTCAGCTAAAACGCTGAAAAGTCGAAACGTGATATGAATAGAAGACTGTATGATTTTGAGGGTTGAGCGTCTTTTTGGTCTTCCTGTCGATCTTCGTAGCATCATTTTCTCCGAAGAATTGCCATTTCTTCTTGGAACGTGATCAGAATAAACAAACGATGCTCCTTTACATTTTCAAAAGCGAATGTTAAGTGACAAACCAGTGACAATGACAGTGACAATCACTGATTTGTAAGTCTATTACAGAAAATACGACAGCCAGCCAATGATCAGAATAAAACATAAAAATCTTCTACTTTCATAGTTTATCTTAAAGGTTTACAGTTTGTGCTCAAAACTGCAGCGGGGATCAAGCCGAACTGCAGCCGTAAGGTGCACGTTTTCCATGCAAGACTCCCTTAAGTCACAGAATTCCTAGATGTCTAGAATATATAATACGACCTGTCACTGCCACGCATTAGAATCCACACCACGAAGTCAGTCCACTCCGCGACGAACAGGGACCACTGAAAACGTCTTATGATACAGCTTCAGTGCAACTCGAAAAGAACAGTTAGCTTTGAAAATGAATGATTAAATAAATGAGCGAACGAAGGCGGCGTATATCTGGACAGCAGGGCCGTAGTCTCACACTGTGGAACAACTACACCAGAAAAACATTTTCTCTATTCTTCACAGTTAAACGAATTGGTACCCGTCTACCGGCTAGAACCGAAGCACAGAGGGGCTACATCCTTATTCAAGGGAACTAGTAGTTAAGAAGCAGTTTTACGCCACGCAAAGATTCGAACGCAATCCTTCTAAAGAGCAAAGCCAAACTAAATTTCACTATATCACTGCTCTTCCGAACGCATTAAACAAAATATCTTACCCGAGCACAACCAATTCTCCATATTTCACCGGCAGGTCCATTGTTCGTGCTCCATTTAAAACCTTAAGCCAAACTGCCTATTTTCGCTCCAAGAGAGCAATTACCAGCAATGACTTGGGAGAAATTTCATTCGCGATTTGGCGCCCTATGCAGAACATTAAAAGCGTGAAGATTAAAACGAACAATGTCACAGCAATAATAACGAGAAAAAAGTGCCCTAAGGAGAGATACAACATTCAGTACCAGATAATGAACAGCGTCGCAGGGTTTACCTTGGCTGAGTTAAACACTCTGAGTTATTGCACTTCACGAACGCCTCCATTTTTAACAGATACGATGGAAGAACGGCAGAGTTTTCCCTGCAAAAAATACCTTCATCAACTTGGTAATTAGTACGAAGAAAAACAATTAACGCGGAACAAAACATTTAATTTTCTTTGTGAAAAATAATTCGTATACAATTTATGGCAACATCTTCGGGCCAAGAAGAAACCGACCAGTCGATAGCCAACAGCTACATCCGATGACCAAGCCTCGAAAACATGTTTAAAGTACAACCTAAAATTGTCTGTAACCATTTAAGTTTCACAACTTTAGGCTCAAAATATCCTGTCAAATCTTCTGTCTGAGCTTCAAAAACCATATATACTAAGGCATAATCATAGAAGCATAAGGTAAAGCAAATGAAGCCCTCAAAACATGGTCCTACTAACGATTGATGTGGAAAAAAGGAAACGGAAGTGTGTAACTCTTGGAATGAAGGTCCTTCTAACATTTACACGGTGGCGCCAGCTCTATCACCCTTGTTTTCTTTAAGTTAAAGGTGATGGCGGTGGTCTCCATCTCCATGTCATTAGCCAAGAGCGCCTTATTTTTTAAGGAAGAATCGACAACCGTAATGTAACTAGAGCAGTCGGTATTCTCCAGTGTCTATCCCACTTTATCAGTGGTATTGATCAACCCCATGTGAAAGGTGAGTAACCTAGGTCAGAAGCAACGCGTGGTAAACTCTTTGCTCAACATTCGTGGTAAAGACAAAGACTGCTCGTCGAAGTAATTAAATCAAGCACCTACGCGTTTGAGATCGACCTCATACGCACTCTGCCATTACACCACGACAATCGCGGTGAACGACTTAGTGATGAATCGTTATGAAAATGACGTTTTGGATTTCTAATTCGTCCTTTTAAAACATACAGAGTCAAGTCAGAATATGAGAAACTATCATAACTGCATAAAGAATACGGTACCACATACTGCTACTGATAGGAAGGTCAAAATAGGATTGCCCAGATGATAGTAACTGCGGACAAAATGAGCATTGTAGCTACTATAGGCAGTTCTACTCTCTGAACAAAAGACTGCGTTAATACCACATTGCAGAGTAACTGAAGCAGGGTATATCCGCATTATTTGGACACGGTATGACGCCCAAAATTTGCTTTGTACGTTGAACGTTTAATTCAGAACTACGGCATGCAATTGAGACAATCAGCTGAGCCTAATTAAAGCCTCTCGCTAAGACTTAATTTACTAACTAACCATGCAGAATCTAAATTATTTACAGCAAGCACATTTTACCGATAGCGAAGAATTACAAAAAACGCACTTCGCTTTGTCTGCCTTGTACAGTATCTGTGGTTAGTATTCAAGATGCTATTGAAACGAGGGCAGTGAAATGATTTAAAAGGATAATTCAATGATTCAGTCCAATAAGAACTGTTATGAATGCCTCCAGTTGCACTTTTATTAAAGTAAAATTCTTGCAATATCCAATTATTACTTACAATGAACGAAAACCTGATATTTTATCATCACCAACAGCTATTTCTGATCCACTGGTGAATGGAACCGTCCCTGAGATTTGGCCAGAGAATTCTATCACGTGCGATTCTCATTCAACTTTCTCCGACAATTCCTTTTATCTCATTCCAGCCATTATTCTGGAGGTTATTTCACAGATCATTTACAGTCGCCTAAAAATTATTCTTGCATCTCATTAACTCAACGATGCTAATACAATCATACAACGTGTGCGGTCAATTGACATTTGAATATTTTTTTTCTTTTAATGACTTCTTAGACTTTGTCGGTGTTCCTTTCCATTCGTTCGTATTCCCATTTTATTTTGCCTCTTTCGCGTATATTTTTTCATGCTGCGACACAGGCAGTATTTCATCGATGTTCATGCTTAAAGCCATTGTTTCGCATACATGTTTTGCACTTTGCGCATACGATGGTCCAAAACCTTCAGTCTTAAGCAGACTGAAAATTTCGAAGATGGAAATATCTTCAACTTTCAAAAGATGCGACATACCATTTTGCCCGTTTATTGGTCTCGTGTAGTTGTTTTTCCGTTGCTGAGATTCGTTCTCCCAGATAAACCAGTTTTTGCATATCTTCATACCTTAGTTTTTTCAATAAATAGGTTGTGGGATCGCGTGTCTGTAAAACAATCTAAATCTTCAGTGGTTTTGGAAAGCTGTAAAAAAATTGGGTGAAAAAAGAGTTCATCTTCCCAGGTATGTCCAACTTTACGCTACCTCTGTCAGGTCACTGTTGATGCGTGACAAAGAATTATTCCCACGAAGGAGCAAGAACGGTGAGTGACCTAAGTATAGTAGCGCTGACCTTATCGCATAATGAGGGTTCAAGAAAAAGATCACGCAAAAAACGACTACATTCACTTCCGGGAACAGGGGACCTTACTAGATGTATAGGTTAGGAAAGGTTAGCCAATCTTGCTAAACATGCGCCATTTAACGCTGTGAAATGCAATATTTAGCATACACATTGAGTTTTTCGCCTGAAATAAAGCTAATCAGACATCCACAGAAGGCCAGGATTCAACATGGAGGAACAACATAGGCGAATCTCTCTTTGGAAGTGAACATTTTCTTTTGCGATGGAGTAACCGGTGCTTCGTAGAAAGCATTTAAATGCACTGGATATCACAATCCAGACATTCTTTTTACGTTAACCACTCACGATGATGGTCTTATGAAATACGGCAAAATGTTTATAGCACGAATTTATTTCTTTGGCGCGTATAATAATCGCACGTTATGAAGTGAAATCAACAAGGTTTGTTTTTGCGTCTCCTTCGTTCCAAATTGAGTTTTCATGCAGGAAACATTCCATTGCTGACGGCAAAAGCACTGAGATAACGCAATCTATCAAGTAATGCATCTTTTATTCTGCATTTGGTCAGCTGAAAATTGTCAGTTAGAGATCTAATCGTATGGATGGCTTGGAAATGTATTTAAAACAATCTAATGTTTGAATCAGATAATTAGCAATACAAACAGCTTCATGAGCAACAAGAAATGTCAGCAACATAATATCAGGTTACCCAAAGTGAATTAATCAACGAAAAACTGCAAGCAATTTCATAAAGAGTTCACATTTATGACATGATTCATGCAGAGTTTGTGATCGCGGACGTCTCCCCAACCGCCGTTCTCTTTTGGAGGTTTCGGTGAACGCCGCAGACCAGCACGAGAACTTAGTACTATCTTCTGTGGAAAGAGTTGCTGCCTGACGTCGTTTAGCTGCGACACTACCCTGCGAACGCTGGTGTCGGCGGTGCAATGTTTGTGATGTGTGCCACTACAAGAAAATAAATGATAAATACAGCAACTACGACGGCAGCTATAGGCAACTCACCAGTCTCCAATGTGGAACACCCGCGGTCCAAGAACGACAAGGCAACGCAGCGGATTTTTCAGCAATTTCGTGCTGACATGCAGCAGAGACCAATCCCAGTTGTAATCATCGTATGAACAAAAATTCTACACAAGATGGTTTTAGCGCATCACTAATGACAACTGGAAGTGAAAAACTGAACCAACCTTGGCAAATTTCTTAACTTCATTCCAGGTCGTCCTGTTGATTGCCATGCCCATATTGTGTTGACTCGAGAACCACACCTGCGCCGATACCTAGAGTATCCAAACCCTCAAAGAACCGTAATCCTGCAAAACCGTCGATAGTTTACTTTGTCATAATCAGCTTTCTTCGGTTGGAAGTAACTTCCAAGTGTGATCACAGAGCATTCACTGCACAGCCTATATCGGCACAGATTCATCAGTCCTAATGCAGTAAATAACAAGAATACAACAATGGCGTCAAAACGCCGATATTAAAAACAGTACTATTAACAAAGAAATTTTGCGAAAACGCATCTTCTCCGTGTATCTAAGTTAGGACATAATCTAAGTTTGATTGCAATTACGCGAATGACCAATTATGTATACCCCGTCGTCAGGTGGACGGCATATGCATACTAGGCGGGAAAATCAGCCGAAGGAAGGCGGCATGGTACACTATAACCGTGTTAAAACATCCTTGTGGGGGAAGAAAGAACTGTTCAACTGAGCCATCGTACCGGCCAGGATCTAAGGCGCTGAATGTTGGCCTGCTACTAAAGCCGAGGAGAAAATCTAATGGTCACGAAAGGAATTATAGAACCAAAAACGTGCAAGGTGTCCTACTGAGCGTAAAAATTCGATACCAAACTAAGTAACAGACATGATTTCTACCTTTTGCGACGCCAAAAAACGATAGACCTGACGTGTGGATCGCCTGAGAGACAAGCAAAGGACGTCAAGAATAACAAACTGGCTACCGCTGGATCACAAACATCGAGTCGGTTGTCCAAGAACATACTGGGACCATCCGATCGTAAAATTACTTGATCAGTGGCAAAGGCAGAAAGGGACAAATAGAGTACATTGGAGCTTCGATTAGTATTTAAGTCGCGCTCATAAACGATGAATATTGAATAGAAAGGGTACAATGCAATCGTGTCGTGACGGCAGAAAACAAAAATCTACGTCAGTAATCCGCATAGTGCGAATGCCGTGAGTTAGTTACGTTTATGGTTATATTTATACAATCGATGATCTTCCGAATCTGAGCTCAAAGCTCTATCGACTGAAGCCCAGTTAATCAGATAAAACAACTGAATTACACAGTGTTAATTAACTCCATCGTTCAGTGATAAACCAATTAGCGATCAGTACTTAGAACATTTGAACAAAGCAGTTTTCACTTTAGACAAGTCTAGATAAGATAAACAAACTCACTATATAATTAGACTTGCAAATTACAGCGTTTGTTTTAGAGTACCATTTTGTGTTGGTACAGTTGGACAATATGATGCCTTAGTCTATTACCCCAAAGAAACAACATCCGTGTAAATCTGTAAATCAAAGAACAAATGCAGCCAAAGAGAGCGACAAAGCGTAGTCACGCAAATTTTGCTTTAGCTTACCGTTCCTTATTAGTAACTATGTAGTCAAAAGTGTGAAGAATGTCTGGACTAACGTAATGATCTTCTTCCAAAAAGATGATCCATCCATCGAAATTTCGCAAACGTTCGATGCCATCAAAAACATAGTTGATCTGAAGCACACCCATATAAAAGGTAGTATCAACAGTTTGACTCCAATACCTTCCACCACCAATGATGCTTGATCTGCGAAAGCTCAGCCCTTCGATAATGACCGTACTTGTCAGGGGTCTTCCAGTTAAGGCATTTCGCCTTTTCTGCCCTAAAGCAACACATTTTCTATTAGTCGACACAACAGGAAGCAATATAGGTTTCCATTTACTGCTGTTTGGTCATGTCGCTGTTGCAGTCGCGGCTGTCCGTGCCAGGAAAACGATTTGAATACAGCTGCATGCTATAAGGGTAAAAAATCTGCATCACGCGAAAGGCCGTGATGTTCTTCACCATATCGTACATCTGCTTAGAGTAATAATCATAGCTGACGATCATCAACGCTTCTCGACCAATCCGAGGTACCTTTGACAACGACTCGATTAGTTTTGAAAAGTAATACGCTCGATCATGCACTTGCACGACAAGAATAGAGTGAACGTTCTCTATCGGGCCATACTGGTCCTCGTTCAAAATCGGCGCATTCAGATTGTTGTCTTCTATCGAACGTCTGACATCATCAGCGCTTGGCGCCCACCATTTTCTATCGCCAAAATAAACACCGGTAATTTTTTCTTCTAGAGAAGAACCGGGATCCTGAACTTCTTTTCCCACACCAAAAGAGGAGTCTTTGACAAAAGAAGCGTTAGCTGCCAATAACCTCGAATTATGATCGTTCTCACTGTTTTCGGCACGATGATGATAATAGTCGTTGAAAATATGGAACTGCGCAACGAAAAATCCAGCAGTGCTCAACAGAAAGACCAATTTCAAGATTTTCAGCACAAACCGGGAATTCATCATAGCAGTCAGTAGAGGCAACACTCCGCTTAATGATATACAATCGAAGCGATGGAAGCCAAAATTATAACATCACAGAACAATCTAAATGCAAATACATTATACAACGGAACAGGAATATCAAATACAATCTGCATGTTAATAAATAAATACGAAAACCATTATGATTTCATTTCACTTTCGTCGACTAACACTCGCTATCGTGATCACCTAGCCTTAAGATGACACAACAACTATAATCCAAGAACAGTCGTCGGCTAGTCTGGGTCCAGCCTTCAATTCTTCCAAATTGGTAGAGTATCGTATCGATAACCGTGTCTAATGTCTTCTTCCTAATTACTATGAAAAGTGATCTTTTGTACCCGAAGAGAGAAGTCGCGTACTTGGATGATGCTGTCATTAGATCTAAATCAACATTTTCTAATCTTCAAGAAAACAATGGTCCTCAAGAAAACAGCAAAGAACCACGATAAGTTTGTTCAGCCTCTCCATTCCCTACCCATACAAAAGATTTACGGTGACTCATGTGAATTATGATCTTATAGACGATACCTTATGCATAACATTTAAGAGAAACCAACTGAATTTCGAATCACTGGTTGCAAGAATCTCTGACAATGCGATGTTGTTTTCATTTTGCGACTCGGGGTAAAAATTATAGCACAATTAACATCAGCTGCACGACATCAGTCGAAATAAAGAGTAGCTTCACCAAGGACGTTCGTATATGCGCCTGAACAGAAACATACAGAGAAAGTTTAGCTCCATTCACGATATATTAATAGGTCGCTTTAAAGATTAAAATGAACTTTGAAAGTTTTACTGCTTAAACTAAGTCAATGAGGACATCATTTTTTAACATTAATGCATAAAAGTAAATTATCGATAAATTCGAACCGGAAACAATACAGACACAGACAAAAGAGTAAATTAGGAGAAAACCATCTGTATTTTGTTGAGCTTAGCTATTTATGTATCACGTAATGCAGTCCAAGACTACGTGCTGAAGCTGGAATAATGGACTTCACACTTCCGTCCGAGAAAGTATACTAACAATGTAGATTCCCTACACACGTGGCGTTAAAGCTACTGTGCACAACTGACATGAAAAAGATAATCATTATTATTCAGAATGCTTTTCTCATGTGCGATAGCTGATTCAGTCACACATAGTGCTAAATCATTTAAAAGAAAGACTTCTTAACTGCTTTGAAGTTGCCCGTGAGCAGCCGGAAAACACAACCGCGGCTGCGTATGTATATAGGAAAAGAAATGATATTTTCCATCGCCTCCTCCGGGTCAGGCAAAGTCATTTACGTGTTAATTGAGAAAAACATAATACAAGGAGAAACACTTTCTCCGAAGTTGATTACAACTTTCTTCATGTTCACATTTCCAGTGAAATGCAACCTATTC